AGAGAGAGAGAGAGAGAGAGAGAGAGAGAGAGAGAGAGAGAGAGAGGGAGGGAGGGAAGAGAGTTGGAGGGAGGAATAAAATACATGCAAATAGTTTTTTGGATCCTTTTAACAACGATGTTAATTAAAAACTGTACTTTTATATTGATTAGAAGTGCTCATAAACTCTGGTATTTCCACCGCACTGTGTTCTTGATGTGACACATACACACACACATTTCTGGATTGGCATCCGTAGATTATGTGAAAGGTTTAAGACAATACTCTTCAAAAGTTATGTTTCTCTATTCCTACCGGCTTTTGTTTTTATGAAATACCTAACTTCCTCAGGCAAGAAAAATTATCTGGGTTCTCAAAATCCTCTTAATTCTCTAAAAGATTTCTTTTCATAGAAAGAACACATTGACTAACATGTCAAATGTTAAAAACAGAAATAAGAAAAAGAATGATATATTAATAGAATATAAAATTATGAATAGCAAAATACAAGAGGCAATAACACATATATCTGCATATGCCCTAAAAACAAGTCTACTACTATATAAATAAACTGACTGGGAAATATATAAATGACTGAAAACAAGGATTAATGCAAATTTATACACTGTGGTTTTTTGGTACTATATCCTGTATCTGTACTAATAAGCATTATGATCAAACTGATCGTGTAAGAGAGAAGAAACTGCTCATGTTAAGAGTGGTATATTGACTATCCATGAGGTTACCTTTGAGCATTATAAATTGATCAAATAAAAGAGGAAAGGAGCATTTAAGAATCTACTTTAAAAAAAAAAGCTGAAATATGTAAAGTTTACCTCCTGATTAGAGTTCAGTAACTACAAAGGTCTTAGAATTTCTCTGAAAAAAATCTAAGAGTCAAGGAGATGCACCATCGTTGGGATCAGTACTTGTTTTCCTTGTCCTCAATGGCTCCTTCCCCTGCCCTCCACTGAAATGCTGAGGTTCCAACCAGTCCTCTCCGCCACACCCAGTAAATTACACCTGCCTAGGCAATCTCACCTACACCCACGGATTCAACTACAACTACCAAATTTCTTAGTCCTATAGTTCAGATACTTCTGTGAACTCCAGGATTATACTTCTAACTACCTTCTAGTATCAATCTCTGAACATTCCCCAGACACCTCCAATGCAGAATGAACAAAACTGAAGTCACTCTTTCAGTTTTATAGTCCTTATCACCCAGAACGGCAGCACTGCCCACCCCGTTACCCAAACAAGCACATGGTAGTTGCCTAGACCTCTCCCTTTCCCTGACCTCCATATGCAATCAATCATTCCTCAAATTCTGTTTGTTCAACTTCATAACCGTCTTTCTCCAGGGGTTCTCAATGGGAGGGCAGAAAGAATTAGACGGAAGATAAGACGGTATAAGATAATCACTTGGGAGGGTTTTTCACAACACACTCGATTGCCTACAGTAAGGGTCTTGAGTGTTTAACTTGGTTTGACTGGCACCTAGAACTAAGGAATAAGATAAGGGCGCCTACTGTACACAAGCAGTAGTTACCCTCTCACTGCCAGAAGTGACACGGTGGACTTTTTCGGGGACTGATTCAGTACCCTCCTCAAGGACTCAGGAGTCCTCCATCCTTCTGCTCTGCTGTCCGGAGTTTGTGCCTTTGTCCTCAGGCACATGTACTCGTGGTCACAAAACGAGCTGCCAGAGTTCAGCTGACCACATGAAGATACCGCTGTATCCAGCGAAAGCTTCCTGGGAGGCTCTTTCTATCAGCGGGGAAACCTTTCCCAGCAGGCCCACCGGCTGACTTTCCCGTGGCAGCTGATCAGCCAGAAGGTGGCGGCCACTCCTAGACTAACCACGGGCAGGGCAAAGGTTACCCATGCTTAGCTTAGCCTTAGACTACTTAGAGAAGTCAGAATTCAAACCCATGCATTTTCCACTGGCCACAACACCTGTAATTAATTACAAAGAAGCTTGAGTGAAGCATCATCTTTTCTTTCTTAAGACTCCTCACAGCAATTTTAATTAGATAAGAATTACAGTTCTACCAAAGTTCTCAGGAAAAATATACACGATATTACATAAGGACAGTTTTCAAATATGCATAAATTTATTCATTTGAATAACACTTTCAGAATCCTTTTGTAAAAAGGGGGCTTTATTTATCAATTTTAATCTAATTTTTCACAATGGTCACTGATTCCTAAAAAGATGGTTACTTAATTTTGAATATTATCTCCCAAAACAAATGAGAATTCATTAATACCATGTATTCAATCTATTTGTGCTTTACATGGGGGAAAAATAAACTTTTTTTTTTCTCAAAAGAAATATTCACTGAGCTACTTAGTGACAAGCAGGTTGCACAGCGCACAACGGGGATTCCCAAACTGCACCCGAGCAGCTCAAGGCACCACGGCACACCCACAGGGGTACTGCGAGATGCTCTAAGTTTCCAAGGAAACACAGCTACACTAACAGGGTTTTTAGATTGAGACGCATTTTATTAAAAGGTAGAACTACAATTATACCGTAAATTATACATACAGCCTCTTTAAACATCGTCTTACTTTCTAAAGTTTTTTAAGCTTGGAGACTCTATTTTAAACTTAGAGCCAAGGAATAACTATCAGAATAATTGAGACCACTGCAGGATTTTTCTCTTGGTTTTACTTTTATGTACTATTTCAATTAGAAGTAAATTTCTCTTTCATCCTTCTTCCTTAATTTAAGGAAAACACCAAGTCTGTGAATTCTGACACTAACAGTGTTTAGATTGTTAACTCTGATCAAGTTATTTTTCACTATCAGAAATTAAGAATGGGGCTTCCCTGGTGGCACAGTGGTTGAGAGTCCGCCTGCCGATGCAG